TGCAGGTGACTTGCCTGGGTGTGTCTGCAGAGACAGGAAAGGCATGATAGGACGGGCTCAGTTTCCCCAAGATCTCCTTGGCTAGTCCCACTCTGTTCAGAGGAAGGGACGTGGGGCCGGCAGGTACTCAGATTCTCCGTCTGTGAAGAGGAGGTAATTCTGCAGCCCTGCCCCCCCCACCCCAAGGGGCTGCTGGGAAGATGCCATGCGGAATGGCTGTGATGTGCCTAGTCCAGCCTTGGCACCTGGTTCGAACTCGCTGAATGTCATGGTCATTACCCACTTTTGAGCCCGCAGCTCCCCAGGCAGTCTGTGTCTGGTGTGAAGTCCTGGTTTTACCGTGAATGAGCTGGTTGGCCTCCGCCTTCCTTCTTCCCTTTGAAGGTTGCTGGGGGAGCCCCTGAGCTAGCGTATTGGGAGCTGCTCTGGAATAATTATTGCTACCATTTGGAGAGGTTTTCTAGGTATTTCATACACATTATATCACATGCTGTTGGACGACAGACTACATATTCAGAGAGGTAAAGCAACTTCCTCAAGGTCACACAGCTTCAATGGATAGAGCTGAGATTAAAACCTAGGACTTTCAGACCCCAAAGCCAGTTTCCTTAACTGCTCCAGAACAGGGGTTCCTCACTGGGATGATGGGACCCCATGAGTCCCCAGAGTTTGCATAGAAAATGTGGTGTGTTACATATTTTGGGGGGAGAAAGTTTCAAAGATGGAATCAGGTATGATTTTTATTTATTTACTTTTTGGGAAATATTTATGAGCTGTCTAAAAAAATAACTACTGCTTTCAATAATATCAAATGTTGGCTTTGGCATCATCCTAAAAAGTTTAGGGGTGCCACCAACACCCTAACTTTCTCTCTGGCTTTAAGTCAGGTGTTGTCTGGATTGTGTTTCATGATTAGTCTGATCTCATGGAGATGGGTGGAAATGTGCGGACCAAGAAGGTGGGCAGCCACAGGCCCTCCAGCCCGGCCCCTCCCTCCCACCTGCCGTCATGAGCTTTCAGATTGAGGCACAGCTCTGGGGGTGGGGGGCTGGGGGTCAGCTGGGCTCCCAGCCCCAGGCTCCTCCTCGGGAACTCTCGCTAGGGGAGAACAGAAGGAAAGCCAGGGAGAGAGCAGTGATGCTGGGGGAGAGATGCCGTTTCAGGGGGGCCAGCGCCTTGAACAGGAGCCGCACCCCGCACCCCGAAATGGTTAAATAGAATTCCAAGATCTTGAGGCAGGAGGGCAGTGCAAGGGAGAAGAAAAATAGGCGGGAGAGGGAGAGAATTGTGCTGGCGATGGCTGGGGATTTATTTATCGTGCTCGCTGTTGATTAAGCCCGCTCAGCAGCAGGCGCGGGGCTGGTAAATACACAGGCTGATTCATTACTTTCTGACCATCTGCTTCCCGGCCCGGGGGGCGGGGGCCAGCGGGCCCCGCAGGTGATGGCAGCGTGGTGTCGGCAGCCGGGCCAGACCCCGTCCCCTGGCAGAGCTGGCCGCGTCAGTCTTGCCGGTGACAGGCCGGCGTGGCCGGGAGCGGTGTGGGATCCCTCGGCCCGTGGTGGGGACTGCCGGGAGGCTGCGAAGGGTGCCGGAAGTTAGGACGGGGCATGAAGAAGGACTGGGGGAAGGGGAGGTGTGGGGTGATTCACAGCAGTCCAGGCGAGACGCAAATAATATCAGCATTCAACATGAGATACAGTAATACTAATCCAATCGTCATTATATTAATGACTAATTAATGGGATGACAGTAATAACTGTAATTGAGTGAGCGGCTACTGAGGTCCAAGCCCTATATAGAGGATTTACTACGTTGTCCCAGATAACCACAGACGTCCCATGATGGATGACAAGTGAACTGGGTTTAAATTGGGAGTCAGGCAAGGAGGGCTTCCTGGAGGAGGCGCATGGGGGAGGGCTCTGAAAACGCTGAGGAGGGAGAGTGGCTGTGGGAACATAAGCTCAGAGGTAAGAGGGGTTGAGGCAGCCAGAAAAAGGGCACAGCCTTCGGTGCTGGGTGGATAGGAGTTATCGGGGTGGGCAAGGCAGCTTGATGTCCGGTACCCGTGGGCTCGAAACCAGGCTTGGAGAGCAACGCTCCAGACAGAGGTTCTGCGGAAATCATCAAAAACTCACATGTCAGTCCTCCCACCCTGACCTTCCCCTCGCCCCAGCTTCGAGGTGAGGCACGCGTTCGTTCATTCGCTAGGGCCCAGGTGGTGTCAGAGATCTATTTGCTCCGGGCTCTGGCCCTGGAATTTGAGATCAAAGTCTGCCTGACCCTTGAAGACCAGGGCGGGTCTGGTTTCCTCAGAGGTGCCACCCTCCTCCTCTTCTTCACATGGTTTTCCTCCGTGCACGCTCGCCTCTGGGGTCCCTCTACAGATCTCAATTTCCTCTCTTTCCAGGGACCACAGTTGTGTTGGGTCAGGACCCACCCTGACGGCCTCTGTCAGGCCCTCTCTCCAACCAGTCACATTCCCACAGCCTGAGGTCTAGGGAGACACAATTCAGCCCCCAACAAGGTGCCGGGGGCAGTGGAAGGGGGCCTGGGGGTGAGAAGAGGGGGGTTGCTGGATGGTGGGCAGGGATGCCAACCTAGGGACAAACTGTGTCCTCCCGCCCCCGGTGTCCATGCGAGAGCTCTGGCGCAACTCCATCCCAAATGTCATGACCATGACCGGAGCCCATTCTGCCTCCGGATTGGGTGTCCTTCAGCGCTGTCGGCGAGGGACTGGGGCAGGTGCTGTCCCCCACCCCACAGGCAGGCTTGCTTCCTTTAGTCACCAGGCCTGGCCTCTGCAGGCCAGTGAGCCCAGGGGCTTCTCAACCCCTTCCCATTCAGGGCGACAGTGCAGGGTCACTCCTCTGGAGCTCAGGGAAGCTGGGACCTACAAGCTAGACCCCTCTCCCTGCCGGGAAGCATGTGAGGACACTAGCGTTTCAGGACAGCCCCGAGGTTGTCTGGGACAGGAAGAGTTTCTTCCTCAAACACCACCCGCTGTCAAGGAGGCCTGGGCCAGTCCTGCCTAGTCCCCGGCCTCCAGCAGTTTCCCCATCTGCTGAACGAGGCCTTGGACTCGGTGGTAAACCCCTTCCATCCTGAGGTTTGCGGGTCCTGAGAATCAGCAGGCCTGGGCCAGGTGGGGTGGACGGTGGCACCACAAGGGACCAAGGACAGAGCTATTTTGGTCGAGGAGGGCTTTGTGGAACCTGCTTCAGCAAAACCCTGGGCCAGCCTGCCCACTGAGGACCCCTGGGCAGCCCGGGAGCGTGTCCTCCATTAAAGGGCATCAGCGGCGAGGCCGCAGTGGTGTTGCCGGTGGGGGCCTCAGCTCAGCCCCCCAGGGAGGCAACGAGACCACCCCACCCCCCGTGGGAGCCGAGGGGCTCATTTTGGAGTGAGAGACTTTAACTCAGATCCAAGCTGTTTGTCTCTGAGCAAACCAGAGATGTGAAATATTCATCACAAAGCAATGTGAGTGGTCTGGGCGCTGTGGTTCTTCATGACAGTTTTGGGTTTTTTTAAATTAATAGACCCTGTTTTAGAGCAGTTTTAGGCTTACAGTGGTGGGAGTTCCCAGTGCTCCCCTTGCCTCCCCCCTACTACTCACATTTGCACTGGTTTGGTACGTTTGTCACCGCTGACGAGCGACGCCCATAGTTAAGGTCAACTGGAGCCCTTGGGTCCATCAGGGGCCGCTCTCAGTGTCATCGCGCCGGTAGGTTTGGACCGATGCATGGCATCCTGCCTCCACCATGACGTGTCACACAGAATCGCTTCACTGCCCGAAAATCCCCCCGTGCTCCTCCTAGTCACCCCTCCAGCCCCGGGCAGTCCCTACACAGGTGACGTCTCCAGGCCTCCGGGTGAGTTCACGCTGTGGGCAGACTCGGGGAATGGATCTGAACCGTCAGGGAGGGGAGCCATGGCAGGTGCCTGCGGGGCCCAGGACGGGGGCTTCCAGCCTTCTCGGGGTAGGACGGGAGGAGGGAGAGCAAGTGTGGGCAGTGCCCCGTGTCCCGCAGCCAGCGTCCACCCCTGAGCCTGCCGGGCCTGTGCCAAGGCCCCGGAAATGATTCGCCCCCTTGAGAGGACCCTATAGGTGCTCAGTGTCCTCCCAGGGCCCCCCGACTGCGCACGAGGCGGGCACACCGGCCGCGAGGCAGAGGCGGGCCTGACTGCCATGCTCTGCAGCAGAGCGGCCCAGGTGTGGCTCCCAGCACCTGGTGGGTGCCTTGGGTCAGGGCCCCCCACCTTCCCAAGCGCGGGTTCCTTCATCCAGTGCTTGGAGCTAATCATCACGTTCTTTGTTGGGGGGTGAGACAGCAAACGGGAGAAATGAGACGACGAGGTCTGCAGCTGGCCTCGCGTGCCTGGGGCTCCAATATTTGCTGGGACTTTGACTTCCTCTCCCACCGCCACGCCTGTTGCTCTCATGCCGCTGTTTTAAGGGTCAGGAAGGTGTCTTGGTGTAGATGTTTGAAGAGTTAAGAACGTGAGTAGGAATTTTCGAGGCAGCCAGACGGGAAGGGTCCTTGGAGGAGAGGGAGTACCATGGGTGAAGGCTCGGGAGCGCAGCAAGCGGGGTGCAGAGGGTAGGAGTGCTCCAGGGGGCTGGACCAGCTGGGCTGGGGGTGGGGGGGAGTGGGTGGGGTGGGGGGCTGAGAGCAGGGCCTGCAGGTCCTGTGGAAGGACGGACTAAAGAGTTGCATTAAACAGGCGGGACTTTAGGAGCCACTGGGGCCTCGGGAGTGGGAAATGGGGACAGATCACCAGCCCAGGGAAGGCTCCTGGTGCCCGGACCCCAGAGCACAGGCTCTGCCTCATGGGGTCAGACGCCCTGGCGGTGCGCAGTGGGGACCGGGTGGGTTGGAGGCTCCCTGGCCCCGCCCCTGTCCCCCTCCCCGCCCACCCCCCACCCCTCCCCCCCCACCCCACCTCCCCCCCCCCCTCCCGCTGTCAGCGCCAACCCCTCCCATCTCCTCCTCCCGCAGGAGAACCCATACCTGTGCAGCAACGAGTGCGACGCCTCCAACCCTGACCTGGCCCACCCGCCCCGGCTCATGTTCGACAGGGAGGATGAGGGCCTGGCCACGTACTGGCAGAGCGTCACGTGGAGCCGCTACCCCAGCCCGCTGGAAGCCAACATCACCCTCTCGTGGAACAAGAGCGTGGAGCTGACCGACGATGTGGTGGTGACCTTCGAGTACGGCCGGCCCACAGTCATGGTCCTGGAGAAGTCCCTGGACAACGGGCGCACGTGGCAGCCCTACCAGTTCTATGCCGAGGACTGCATGGAGGCCTTCGGCATGGTGGCACGCCGCGCCCGCGACCTGTCATCCTCGGGCGCCCACCGCGTGCTGTGCACCGAGGAGTACTCGCGCTGGGCCGGCTCCAAGAAGGAGAAGCACGTGCGCTTCGAGGTGCGGGACCGCCTGGCCATCTTCGCCGGCCCCGACCTGCGCAACATGGGCAACCTCTACACGCGGCTGGAGAGCGCCAAGGGCCTCAAGGAGTTCTTCACCCTCACGGACCTGCGCATGCGGCTGCTGCGCCCGGCGCTGGGGGGCACCTATGTGCAGCGGGAGAACCTCTACAAGTACTTCTATGCCATCTCCAACATCGAGGTCATTGGCAGGTAAGGAAGACCTGCTGGGGGGCGCTGGGTCGTTACCTGGGTCCTGGACTGTCGCCTGGCTCTGGGGTTGTTAGCTCGTACTCAGGGTGGTACCTGTTTCCCAGGATGTTACCTGGTTCCTGGGATGTCTGCTGATACTCAGGATGTTACCGGGCTCCTGGGACATTATCTGGTACCTGGGGTGGTACCTGGTGTTACATCAGAGGGGCTGCCTATGGTGGCCAGGGCTGCACAGACAAGACACATGGTTTTTCCATAGAGGGAGGTGAATTATGGCTGATAACGTCCTCTGGAAGGCCTGGAGAGCTGGAAGGTCTAGAGACCAGTGGAGCTGGGCAGTGTGGGCAGGGCTTGGGTGAAACCCAGGCACTCAGGAGATGCTCTGCAACTGTCCAGCCTCTTATTGAATTGATGCTTGTGTCTGGGGGTCCTCAGGGCTGCCCTCAGGCTCAGTGATTTTCTAGAAGGACAGAACCTAGCAAAACAGTACACTCTCAATTACAGTTTATCACACTGAGAAGACATTAAAATCAGCAACCCAAAAAGGTACGTGGGTGGCTCCTGGAGACACCAGTGCAAGCTTCCGGTTTTCTCTCCCAGTGTAATCGTGCAGACCGTAGTCAGTCCTCCTAGCAATGATGTGTGATAACTTGTGTGACGTAGCACCAGCCAGGGAAGCTTGCCCACGCCTTAGTGTCCGGGGTGTTTTGTTGAGAATTGATCATGTAGGCATGGCTGAGTACCTGTATGGTTGACCTTGGTCTTCAATCCCTTGACCTAGAGGCCCCCTGCCATAAATCACATCATCACCATCAACCAAACTAATGTGTCCCAAAGCCCCAGGTAAACAAAGACACTCTTACCAGGCAAGATATTCCAACCTCTCAGAGATTACCTCACAGAGGCTGATAAAGGGCCAAACTTCTCTTTGGCATATGTAGGGTGTGGACAGCCCACACCTGCTGAGCTAATCCTTTACTCACAGCTTTGGAGAAGAATATATCTCCAGGCCACTTTGGGTGGAGGCAAAAAACTATCTAGATTAAAAAAAGCCTTTGATCTCCGGGAAAGGTGGCAGATGATTAAGTGACTGCACGATACCTGAGTCATTTGTTCCTTCAACAGATAATGTGCAGGTCTGCAGCGACAAGAGCTCTGCCCCTGAGCTAGCTCCCTAACACCCTGGTCTGCACTCAGGAGAGGCTCGGGAAAGCCTCATCCCTGGGTCAGCGAGGGCTCAGTGATAGGGGGCAGCCCTGTGTGACACTGTCCTCGTTTGACTCTTAGACAGGCAGCCTCAGTGGTACTTGGACACTTACTAGAAATGTACATTCTCAGGCCCCACACCAGACCTACTGCATCCTAACCTCTGGGGTAGGACCAACAACCTGTGTTTTAGTGAGCCGTGCAGGGAATTCTGACGGGTGCTCTAGTCTGAGAACACTGGTGTGCCGGGTGGGAGCATGGTTCTGGAGCCAGACAGCCTGGCTGGATTCCCGGCACTGCCAGCCACTAGCTGTGAGACCCCGGACAAGGACCCTTCTGTGGCCCAGTTTCCCAGTCTGTAGAATGGGGATGATAACGACCATGTCCTTCTCATGGGATGGTGGTGACAGTTAAACAGGCTAACGTGGGGCTTAATCAGGATTGGGAGCATGGCTTAGGCCACGTGGGCAGGGGTCCCACCAAGAACTCCGCTGGGACAACATACACTGGGGGCATCTTTCCATAGCAGGCTCCCAAGACCCCAAGTATAGAATTGCTGATGAGAAGAAAAAGCGATTAGTTGCACAGTGTGTCCGGTATAACCCCTTTTCTGTAAAATGTATAATACACCCGTGTGCATAATTTCTACATCTTGGGGAGGCACTGGAAAGAAATCTGTCTGGACACAGGAAAAGCATCAGGGCTTCGGGGCAAAGGCTGGGAGCGTGTGTGCTGACCGATCACGACGGTCCTGCCTGTAGAGTAGAGCTGTCATTTTCAGCTCATGTTTGCGTTTTATTTCCTGTGGATTCTGCGTGTGTATGGGGGGGGGGCCAAGGCAAAGGCAAGCGGTTGATGAGGTGGTTCAGGGTCAAGGCTGGCAGGTGCACACGCGGGGTCCTGTGGTTCTGACACCTGTGACTTCTAACCCTCCCCCACTTGGGGCAGGATATGTTAAATCAGGAATGTTCTGGAAACCACCCGACAAATGGCCACTGTTGTGGAAGCTCGGGGTCAAGGATGAAGCTCTCTGATCCGTGTCCAGGCTATGGGCCACTGGTCCTCTCCGTGACCTCTGCCTGCCCTGGGGATGCAGTGGCTGGTATAAGACCCTTCCTCCGGCTGCGGTCCCAGCGGGCTTAGCAACGTGGTGGTGGGGACCAGAGCGCCACACCTTCTGGGGATTGTGGTCGCCTTTCTGATCTGCCTTTAGCTGCTGCAGGGGGACCCCCATCTTCAGGAGTCTGGTCAACGGCCCTCCTTCCACCTCATTGGGCGATCTGGGGCCAGCGAGCAGGTCCCAGCCTAACCCCTCTGGGCCCCTCTCTGGGCCTCAGTTTCCCACTTGTAACTTGAGGACTGGGCACCTGGAGACCACGTCTCCCTGGCAGGATGGCAGGGTGGCCCCCGCTCAGCAGCTCCCAGCTCCCCTTGGCACCCAGCCTCTGCGGGCGGCGGGGATCAGACGTAGTGGTGGCGAAAGTAGGGCTATCAATTCACTGAAGTAAGTACTCTTCAGGCGGCTGGTTGGCAGGAAAGTGGCAGCTTGGCTTATCGATTAATTAGGTCTGGTTAGATGGTTCAGCAAATGGCTGCAACTTCCTCTGCTTTTCCTTTTTAAATTCCGGGTGGGAAAGCACAGCAGGGCCAGGAAGCCAGAGAGGGCCAGGGAGACAAGATGGGGCAACAAAGGCGTTGGAGGAACTGCCCAGATGGTGCCCTTGATGTTTCTGAGTAGGCACCTGGGGGACCTGGGGGTTCTCAGGTTCTGGGATCTCAGACTGACCCTGTCCCGGGATTCCCTGAGTCTCACGGCCCGAGTGCCTCCCCCTGTAGCCTGCCAACAAGAATAGCTGATACTTATTGAGCATTTGCTACAGTCTCATTGACTGACTCTCATTGAACTCCGAGCTAAGGTCTTCATGGGCATTTTCTTATTAAATTAATAGTCATTTGACTCCCCAGTGGGTTATTGAATTGCTAAGATCCCACAGTCCGATAACGTGACATTGAGCAAGCCAGACCTGATCCCCACCTTGTAGAGCTTTCCCTATAGAGACAGCACTCCCCTCTACCTCCTGTTTTCAGACGCAGACGCTGAGGTCAGGGAGTATAAGGAGATCACACAGCTAAACTAAACACCAGACAGCCAAGACCCAACCCAGGCATGGCCAAGCTCAAGTGAATCTCTATATAGGGCCATCTCACTGACCGCCCCCCCCCCCCCGCCTCCCAAATCAAAGGTCTCTGGTACTGTGGTTGCTCCTAGCCTGCCATTATTGTCAGCTACTTCTCAAGGGAGACCCACACTGGGGGGTGGTGGGGGCAGAGACACCAGGCCACTACAGGGGCGGGGAGCAAAGCAGCTGGAGAAAGCCCAGGGACCTGTGGAATGAGGAACAAGTACAGAGCAGGGGTGAGGGGAGAGGCTTCAGCACCTTGAGGCCTCTGCCCCCACTGGCCTTGCCTCCCTGCCTCCCGGCCTCCCTGCAGGCCCCGGCAAAACAGCCTTGCCCATCCTGTCCACCCTGGGTCTGGGATAGAGGGAAAGAGGGGGTCCTACCTCTTATTCATTCCTGTTCCTGGAAGGCCGGAGTGGGCAGGGAGCTCTTTTCTCTTCTGCACGTGGGAAGCTCAGGTGTGGAGTCCGAGAGCATCAGGGTTTAACTACGCAGCAGATCCAGGGTGACATCTGGGTGGGAAGGCGCTTGATCATCCCTTTACTGTCCTTGGAGCAGAGACAGAACCCGCACCTCCGCCCCAAGTGGCCAGCGCAGCAAGGCCCAGACCGGGCCGGCGCCCCACAGGAGAGCTTTCTAAGATGACGCGTTCCCCAGACCCACCACGATGAGCCTCAGATCCCGTAGTTTGGAGCAAGGTCCAGAAAACTATCAGGCGAGCTGGAGAGGCAGGGCACCATCACTGATGCGCTCGAGCTCCTTAATCCAACTGGGCCTCAGTGTTCTTATCTGCCAAATGGAAATTCAGTAACTCCCTCACCAGCTCCTGGCGAGGATTCAGTGAGCCGGTGTGTGCACAGAGCTGATCCAGCATCCCCTTCCTCCGGCTAGGTGGCAGGAGAGGTAAGGGAGGGAGGTATGGGGGGCCGGCGCTGCCTGGGCGGGAGTCCACGGCTACATCCATCCCCAGAAACCGGAGCTCAGAAAAGATGCAGGGAAGCATGCGTTCTTGGGTCAGTGCGGTGGCAAGCCCACATGTCTACAGGGGCCCGGAGGACAACATTCCTGGGTGATGCAGACCCGTAGAGACAACAGGGAAGTGTGCGGTCTGTGGAGAAATGGGGAGTGCAGGCCCTTCGCAGAACAGGGAAGCAAATACTGCCACGGGTCTTCCGAGGTTACAAGAGGAGGCAGGTAGCAGGCATCTACGTACGGTCTCTTGGTTTTGGGGTTTTTTTTTTAAAGATTTTATTTATTTGTTTGACAGAGATACAACAAGGAAGGGAACACAAGCAAGGGGAGTGGGGAGAGGGAGAAGCAGGCTTCCCGCTGAGCAGGGAGCCCAGCGTGGGGCTTGATCCCAGCACCCTGAGATCATGACCTGAGCCAAAGGCAGACACCTAATGACTGAGCCACCCAGGTGCCCCAGATCTCTTGATTTTTAAAATTTTGGCACCTACTTCAAAATTGTTTTTGAAAACCCTGCGCAGGTACAACAAAAAACACTGGTGGCCCAGGGCAGCTTCTGAGCTGACCATGTGCTCCTCACGCGCTGAGATGTCCCTGTTCTGTCCCAGCTGTGACAGCAGAGCCTCTGTACTAATAAGATTCAGC